CCACCTTCTAACGAAGTAATTCAATCATTGCAATGCCTCATACCATCGTGAAAACAAAGCTGATGGAGAAGAGAGGTTAAGCGCTGCAAATCCATCCTTGTCATCGTCGCCTTGCATATTCTTTAAACTGGCTTCTTCGAGCCTAAAAAAATCGTACATGGATGATCTCGAAACAACGGTGCAGTAGTAACGGAAGTGTAAAGTTAGGGACAAGGTAGTGCATGAAGGATTCACAGAAGAAACGTCTCTTTGAGAGCAAAACAGACTTTTGTTTCGTCCTTTTCGACCCTCTGAATTGACCTAAAGTGTTTTCCTTTTTCGTAGAAACAAAAACTTGGGACATTCTTAGGCGTCTTCTTGCCATGTATTCAAAACATATTTGGCGTCCTCCTCTTCGTACGTATGCCCTGGATTGCGGGAGTGGCGGGTGGTTTGCAGTTTTTCCTCATGGTCGGATTCTGCTGCCTCTGTGTGAGTTTTAGACCTACCTTATACCTATGTTTTACAAGTGATAAACTCTAATTTTACGTAAACCACTTTATTGGAAAGTCATTCTTTTTCATTTTCGTCGCGAATTATGGTAAACGGTGGTCAAAATTTTTTGATTAGTTTAAATGTGAAGGCAAATGCTTTTGTCATGACTTATCAAATTTTGAGTTCGGAGACTATCACGTGACCACTATCACGTTGACGACAGTTGAAATGAGTTTGTCTGATGTGGATTGTTTAATTTGGCACAAAATTCAATTTCCGCCTCATATCCGTTTTCGCCTGGCTGACTACTTACTTGCAGTCACGACAGATGGGTGTGTCATTGCTAAACATTGGCTTGAAAAGTGCCATTTGGTTGGAATAAGTGCTTAGAGTACATCTGGACGAAGATCTGATCTCATAAACCTCCAGAAGTTAAGTGCTCATCATCTAAGCAGCCTCCGGACGCACTATATGGCATAAGACTGGAATAGTAACTTTGTCATCAGAGTAAACAAAAGGTTGGAAAAGAAGCTTGGTTGATGGTATAACCAGCGGGCTATGCTC